TGATTGTTCCTTAATGTCATTAGCTGGAAGTTATGACGTTTGGCCCATGAAGTCCCATGACGTCGTCGTTTGGAGTTGTAACATTTTGTTTGGGAACACAGACACAACTCCCTCCATTTCTAAGGAAAACACAAAAGGGCTTTTTATTTTAATTTCAACAAAATTGTGTCACGATCGAAGAACACTCACCGGCAATTAGTGTACGTTCTGACTCAGTGAGCCTGGCTGCGAAACCGTTGAAACTCCTCTTGTAACTTCTCACCAAGCGACCTTCGATCGAACTAAATATATAAATATATATATATATAAATATATATATATATATATCACTATTAAAACTTCATAACAAATAATTAAATTAAATTATAACTAATAATGATTGGAGAAATTAACTAATTAATTAAATCACACCTTTCTCCTGTGACCTGTTGAAGAATACTCATGTGATCGGACGTTGGTATGTAGTCTGCGCGAGACGAAAGTGAACCCATGTAGACTATATACACCTTCATGGATCATCATATATCATCATCAACTCATCATGTATAACGAATGGCTAGGTATACCGAGACGGATACGTAAACAGAAAACTGCAAAACTAAAAGTTTCTAAAACGGGGTAAGGTAAAACGCTTAGTGATGACTATAAGCTAAAACGATGGAAGAATCAAGTCAGTTTAAATTAAAACAAATCAGTATAACTTAGTGATGATGATTATAAGCTAAAAATTTGTTTTTTTTCTTCTACTTAAACTGTGGTTTATGCAAAATTAAGAAGTGCTATTATCTATTGAAATTTTGAAATTGTCAAAAGAAACTGATTAGAAGCAAAAAGTACACACTTAATGTACCGTATGTGCAAATTAGAAGTCCATTTAATTTTCAAAAAATAAAAAAAATTAGAAGTCAATTTAAGACTTAAGTTAGTATGCACATAATCGTTAATAATACCTGTTGATCTTCATATATGACTGCTGAGACTGAACTCAAGAACAAAACAAGGAGACATGAGTGGAGGCAAGTAGACGCTGCTAGATTCGTCATTTTTTTGTAAAATGTAGTAAAATTACTGTAAGCTTTTTTTTGGAAGGATCGCCCTGTTGGTCTAGGCCAGGGATCGATCCTTCCCAGACGCAGTTTCGCTCTCTCACTCCTGTGGCCACCTGAGAATTTACCTGCGGACTTGCTCAGGCGCCCCAGACCACCAGTTTATCAGAGGGCCCTTAAATGGAGGCTTAAAAATCTCTGTGACGCGGGTTTAGGCCCAGTAGGCTAGTCAGATCACTGTGTGGTCTGGATACTGGGTTATCAAAAAAGAAAATTATTGTAAGCTTTTTTTCTTTTTTTTTTTGTTTCTATGATGATATACATGCCAAGATCTCTTTATATAGGAGATCACATGCACCGTGTCCAGTGTTGTCTCAAACGATTTGCAGCCCCATTTTAAAAACTAGTAAAAGTATAACTTTTAAAAATATATCTACATATATATATTTTTTGTCGTCCTCCAAAATGCATGATATATATTGCCAAAGCCCAAAACTGTGGAAGAAATAAGTTACCGTACATTATAATCATATATATTAGAATGTCACACATTGTTTGCCTGTTTGGGATTAAGATCTTTGGGCAATATATATAAGATGTGACAACCTTTAACTCTTGAGCTAGTTTTTGGGTTAAATTAGATCACATTCCTAATAATATATATATATATATATATATATATATTTTGATCTGTTATTATACGATAATCAGTTTATTTGATCTAATCACATGCAACAACACAACACATGCGATTATATGAACGACTTCATAAACAACTTTATGATGTGTAGTTTATCTCGCAACATTCGGAACAATTAATAACACTTGAAACTGTGATAGACGGTTTTGCCTGCAATTTTTTTCGACCTCTCCACTTGTACATACTAAAAATCAGAATAAAGTTTATTTTCTCCAATTTTGTGTCTTTGACTATAAATTATTGGAAAATTGTTAAAAATGCCTCTTTTGGTGTGCCCCTTTTCAAAAATGCTCATTTTAGATGTCCATTTTCAAAAATGCCTCTTTTTAAATCTGAAATTTTTATAAAGTTTTATTAGGTTTATCAGGTACTTATGGATTGTAACCACTACTTGAAGACTCGATCCAAGTATTTATAAGGTTTTATAAGGTGTTTTGAAAGGTTTTACAAGTTATTTTAAAGGATTTTTAAGGTTTTTCAAAGGTTTTACAAGATATTTTAAAGGTTTTTAAAGGTATTTAAAATGCATTTATAAAGTATTTATAAAGTATTTATAAGATTTTAGATACATAGAAATGTAGTTTGTGTATGTTTTAATAATGTTACATACATATTTGGGTAAATCTTATATTTTTAAGAGCATTTTTTATAAGGTTTTAAGAAAGGGCACATTTTTGAAAAATGGCATTGAAAAAGAGGCATTTTTTGCAAAAACCCCTAAATCTATGGGGGTGATTGGTGTGATGCTGTAAAGACTTTTACTACATTTAAAAGTTCTCACAGTTAATTATTTACCAATCAGACTTTTCACTCCTTTTTTTTCTCTACAGCTTTAACAACCCATTCTTTTTTTCTCTCTCTTTAATTGCATTAGTTTTTTTAAAGTCCCAATAATGAGACTTTACGTGGGCTCTAACATTTTTTCAATTAATTAAGTATTTCTTTTAAGATTATTTATCTTCTATTTATATATCACTTTTATGATTCATTGATTGTTCAATATATAATATATATATATATATATATATCACTTAATAGAAACAACAATTCAACAAAAATAAAAACATTCAAAAATATATATGTTTTACTTTTTTTTTTCTTTTTTTTTTCCTTTTCTTTTTTCAATATGTTTTACTACTAATTGTGAAAATCAATATAAAACAATAATAGCCAATAAAGAAAATTCTACACAAAACAAATTAGCACATAATAGTGAATCATTAATCATTCAAAAATAAGAGAAAATCATAAATTTTAAAGCATACCAATACAAAAAAATATTTCAACAAATTTTAAATTAAAATTAATACAACAAACTATTCTTAGAAGATCACTAACATTATAAATACAATGACCAATGGAGTTTTAACTTGCAAATCGAACAAATACTATGATTTCCAAGTTTTTGTTAGTTTATAACACTTCTTATTTATGCTTTTGGGTACTAAATTTCGACATAAAATAAATAAATATAAATAAATTTATTTGTTTCAAATATTTATCTATTAGTTTATTTTTAAACTTTTTAATTTTTTTTAATAAATCTTTTTGTTATGATATTAAAATAATATTCACAACTTTTACAGCCATAGCTTCTACAGTAGTGTTTACCAATTAGACTTTTAAAAATATTTTAAAGTTACAGCCACAGTTTTTACAATCAAATTCTCTGCAGCCAAAAGTTTACAGTAAAAGTCTATAGTAAAAGTTTTTACCAATCGGCCCCTATATATACATTTTTGCAACACTTTATGAAATAAATCCTCAAGTTGCAACTTATTTACAAAGAATGCCATTGGTATTAATTATTATCAATTAATTAAGATTCTTAATTACTAGCATTTCCATCAATTCTAATTACTTAAGAAAAGGAGAAATCTTAGGACATTATTAATATTATACTTTATTGAAAGATAAATATTATAGTTATTGAAAGTTTATTAAACGTTTAGAATATTTAACGGAAAAAATGTTTAGAATATATATAATATGTGAAATCTATAAAAATTAAATAATCATTTGCAAGAAAACTTTAAATTGATTTGAATTATAAATGTTTTAATAAAAGTATTATTCAAAC